CTGCCTTGAACCAAGAAGATAATGGTCAAACTTTTCTCAGAATGTCTATAGGCCTAATCATAACCCCCTTGGGTGTGAGTAAATTCATATTAAAATTGGGGGATTGAGAAAGGTTACTATAGGTAACATTCAACACCGGCAAGCAAATCCACGGTCTTCCAAAAATAGTTGAACCTTGTTGGTTTTGTTACCCATTCTATTGATTCACCGCCAATTCATTGATTGGGACGGTTCATTACGTTTTACCGCTTGCTTTTACCGCGTGGCGAACCAAACAAGGGAGGCCGACTGAGGAAGCCGACTGAAGAAGCCGGCTGCATTGTGTCACTATGTTTAATCCCCCATTATGCATTGTTTTCAATAAGCGAAGAGTGACAGATTCGGTAAAGCCTTGTGGAAAAGCCTCGCTGAGTTGAAAAGCGCATCAAAAATCACACATTAACCCTAACCCTCCTCAATCCTTCACCTGTTGGAGGATTGAGGAGGGTTAGGGTTAATGTGCCATCATCCTATTTCACCCTGCATTAACCTAATTCTGCGCGTGCTATTGGCGCTTATTTGCACCCCTGCAGGGAATATTGAGTGGAGTAATCTGTAGCGTGTTAAAGGGTAAAATAAAACCATATATGAAAACACGGCCCCAAATGGGCCCCATGTTGCCATGATATGAAACAACAGGTGTAATGTTGGTTTTCGAATTTGTCTTTTTTTTTTTCTTTTTTTTTTGGCCCCCTCTTCTCTTGGCGCCCCAAAATGTGGCACCCGGGGCTCATGCCCCCCCCCATAGATACGCCACTGTTTCTATCTGCCATGAACTGCCCAGCTGTGTCCCTTCTGCGGACCTCAGTCACATACCCAAATATTAATGGGACGGAGGGTTCGAAGTTGTTGATCCTGAGGGTATGTTGGATGTACAAATAACTTAATCAGACAGTGGATGTGGGAAGCGCTACGACGTTTGAATAAATAAGTGATTAGTGGTGATGTCCAAATATCCATCACCGTCTGTGAGTCATTCTTGTTGCGTCGGTCGTTAGAACCATTCAGGGTTTTTTTTACCCATTGGACGGTTCTAGGAGGCGAGTCGGTCAGGGGGCGAGTCAGTCAGGGGGCAAGTTGGTCAGGGGGCGAGTTGGTAAGGGGCGAGTCGGTCATTAGTGTTACATATAGAGGCATACGTGTAGCCTTTTTGTGCAGAATGGGTCACAAATATTATCTTACTGAGAGTACAGTTGTTAATAGACTGAGATCTGGATGATTTGCTAACTTTGACAAAACATACTCTGTGATTAAAAAACCTGAAAGATAACCTGTTCTCGTTATTTTTTGTCATTTTTTTCCTTCTTAGATTTGGGAAGACCTTGTCGCCAGTTGAAGGTGGTTCAATAGCTGCCT